GCATCCCAGACTGAAACTCTTTGTAATGCATGGCGGTATAAATGGCTTGGCTGAAGCATTACTAAGAGCAGTCCCAGTTGTGGTCATTCCGATATTCGCTGATCAGTTTCGCAACGGAAGAAATGTGGAGAAACGAGGAGTGGGAAAGGTACCTTATATATTTTTCAAGACAGACACCATCTCCATAGGTTTTTCTGCTTCACGCTTCTTATTCTATCGCTTTGAGGATTCTCTAACGGATTTGTATATAATCAAATATGGAGTTACTACAAAAACAATTTTTAACTGAACTTTTCCAGGTACTTCTAAAGTTGGAACTTTCGGAAGATACGATAAGATCAACAATTCAGGAGATATTGGATAATGACAGGTAGAGGCTATTATCATCAAAAAATCTATTGATCTTAAAGCTATATAGAAACGGAGACTCTTCAACCAAACTTGTTCTATGGAGCTCAACTAACTCTTTCGTCACTCTACCATTTTAGCGTTATACCTCTAGCTGCCATTTGCCATGGCCTGTGGACGTAACATGAAATCACGTTTTCAGCTATAAACAAAATGCTCTTCGTATAGCAAAATTGATGAGAGAAAAACCATTTTCCGCAGAACAGCGGCTTGTTGAGTGGACTAACTTTGCTGTCGCTAACGGTGTCCTGGACGTACTTCACGTGGAAGGTTCCCGACTAAATTTCATAGTATATTTCAATCTCGATGTTATAGCTGCTGTTGTAGTCAGTGTATGTTTAATTCTTATTATTATTATTAAAATGTGTAGAGCTATAAGTAGACATATGTTCATGAAAAAATTAAAACAGAATTGATTCATTTAAAATTATACAGAATTTGTTATTGATCTGTCTTCAAAGTAGAAATGATTGCCAGATCTCATAGCACATATTTTTCTTCCTTTCTCTTGAGGCACAATATATCGATTTTTCAACAAAAGATTCTAAATTGTGAATTCATGTGTTTTTTAATATTCCCCTTTACAAGGTATCGGTCGATTTACATGTTCTTAGCCCATAAT